ACCTCTCAGCCGCGAGGGAGCGATTTGGCATTGCCCTCGCTGGGGTAAGCGGCTTTGCAAGCACGGAAACGGGAGAGCTCGCAGTGGGCAAAACGGTTCGTGTTCCCATTTCAGAAGAAACGTTCTGCAGTAGCTGGCTTGTCTGCGGGTCGAAATGTGTTTGTGCTCCCTCATCCAAGAACCACCCGCACGGGCAGATCTTACTTCCAATTACATGAACTATTTAGACGAACTCTGCAAATGCAAGTATTTTTAGAATACCGCAGAAAGCGATACTTTGCAAGTCTGCCATTTGTACTCTGCGACTAACGTGTGTGTGGATGCGTGCATGCACACACGGCAAACGAGCTGCACCAGCTCTGCAGGAAAAAGGCTGCCAGTTAAAAATGTCCTGCCGCTGAGGGTGGTCATGATTAGCTATTTGCTTTCATAGAAGTCACTGAAAATAATGACTTTGAAAATCATAACCCGAACCCTAATCATGTAACTTATTTTTGACAATGGGCATAAACCATACAGAAGAAAAAAGTGCTGGCTGGGTTCACACAACACAACAACCTACACTCAGTTTGAACATGGGTTGTTACTGCCCCGTGGGTGATTGCACTGTGAGAACCCAGTTGTGTTAATCAACCAGTTTGAAGAAAGCCTATGGTTTGTTGTTGGGTGGTGAACTGTAGGTTATTCACAGTGAACTAACCATGGTTTGTTAGCACAGCTGGGTTCACACAGCAAAAGAACCCAGGCTGCAAGAACAGCTCACACTCTGCCTTGAGTGTGGGTTGTTCTGTTGTGAGCCCCCGGCCACTACCTCACTTGACATAATCCGACATAGAATAAAGGATACTAAAGCAGCCTTGGTTACTCTCCAGATGTGCTGAACTACAACTCCAGTGCCCACAGCCAGGGTGGTCGAAGTGGCTGAGTGATGGATGCCCTAGCCCAACCCTTCTAGAAGGGACCCTGCTGGGGAAGGCTGTACGAGAGCATCGCTGCCTGTAAGAGGGTGAGGTCAGCTGACTGGGAAAAAGCCCCCCCATGCGCTCTGCATACACCTCCCCCCATAGTGTCTGCATGCGCCAAGCCATGTCCCGCACACACAGACAGCGCTGGGAGCCTGCAGCGTTTAGCCAGAAAGGAAGAGCCAACAATACAGATAATTCTTCTCCTTCCACGGGGAAGGACTGGGATCCAATCCTGTGAAGGACATTGCACAACTGGCACTGAGCCCCAGAGGGGGAGAGAGGAGGAGAAAGGGTACCAAAACGCAGCCCTTCAGCCATCTAAAATAAATCTAGTATTTGTGCGGGATGCAGCTGCTGCCAGGGGTGTGCTCTCATACCTTTCTAACACACAGTTCAACATCTCAGATGTAGGCCTGAACTTTTGCCCCCAACTTAGCCAGCAGCCCAATGAGAAATGAAGGTACTAAGAAGGGACTCTGAGGGTGCAGTCTTATTCATGTTTGGATTGCTGGCCGGGGAGCAGGAGGATGCATTTCTTTCTAAATATGCGCAGGATTTTTTCAGGGGTATATTTTATCAACATACCTATGGAAAGCAAGTCCAGCTTCACTCAGCAAGACCTGCATGTGAATATGCCCAGGGATTGCAAAAGTCACGCTGGGACTCTCTGTGATTTTAACCATCTGATCGCAGAGCGAGGGCAGGGGCCAGCCAGGGGCTGCTTGTACTTGATTGCCCATAATCCGCTTCTGGGAATCCAAAGATGGATTATAGGGTAACTCTGCCAAACTGGCTTGAACGACATCATCAAAACAAATTACACAGCAGAACAGTTCTGAGTTTAAATATTTATTTTAACGAAGATCGTACTTGAAATATCCTTCAAATTCCCAACACTTGTCCAAAAAAACAAACAAACCCCCAAAGTTATTTGTAAGTAATCGCTACAGTGACTGAAAAGTTGGAACACCAGAATTTGGACTGCGTGAGCAAGAGGATGCTCGGCCCTTTCGGTATTCCCAAGGCAAGAGCGCCTCCTGGTGAAGAACCCACATCTCACCAAATGCTAAGTCTTTGCTGAAGCAAAATGAAGAGGCCAGGTGAGCTACGCATTCCCAACAGGAAGCCCCTCCATGTCCCTCTGGGAGATATATAAAAGGTTAGTGGTGAGAGCCAGAAAGAGATATTTTGACCCACGATAGGGAAAACAAAAAATGGATCCCGATTTCTATCAAACTTGGGACTCTTTTTATTATTGGCTAGAGAAACGGGACTTCGTATAGATTATGTTTCTGTGTTATCATAAATGGAAAAAAAATGTGGGGGCTGACCCAGCAGGTTCGATGTTTTTGATGATTGATGTTGTTTTTAGTTTTTGTTTTGTTTTGTTTTTAGGACTAAAATTTTTGAATAAAACTTATTTAAAAAAAAGGATTCCAGCAAAGCTGAGAACAGGCTCACGCATCTTTTAAGGAGAGGTGCCTATGGATACCAGGACTAAATCATTTTTTTCCATCTAGCCCAGTGTTGTTTCCTCTGACTGGCAAACGCCCTCCGAGGTTTGGGGCAAGAGGTCTTTGCCCACTGCCTGATCCTTTTAACTGGCAACGCCAAGGACTGAACGGGGAATTTGTCATTTGCAAAGAACTTCCTCTGTCAATTAGCTACAGCCTAGAAATCAGCCCCCGGCCTTGTGAATGTCAATCATTTGCAGGTCCTGCACATGCCATTCACGGATCCTGGTGGCATCTGTAAACCTTCATCGCAGGAATTTTTTTAACCAACGAAACAGAAGCCATTCACTTGTTTGCCGTGCTCCCTGTCTAGAGAGATGGTTGGGTGTCGGGAGCTAAGCATTTTAACTTCTAAGTGCAAACAACTCCTTTTTGCAGGAAAACACAGAATTTCAGCTGGCGGACAGGCATTTGTATTCTTATTGCTGTGCCTTTAGGAATGCAAATAGACTGAGGAATCTGGGAGCTTCCACAGCATCCCAAGAACAAATCAGTTGATGCGTTTTGGAATTTCGACAAAAGGGGCCCCAGTGAGGGCTCTGGTCATGCTATGACGACACCACTGCCTCCGTGCTCCCCTTTCCCTTTACTTCCCGGCCCCGTGAGCACTTTTTAATTTGTGCAACTGTTACACAACACTAAACTTGGAGAGCAACGCATCCCATAAGCAAGCAACTTCTTATGCTGCAGCCACATCAGGCCTAGCATCTCTTTGCAAAACAGAGTTATGGAAAACGTCATGGCGAACACACATTTCGCTCCACGTGCCAATGATCAGCAGTAACTAGCAGTGGGACTTGCTTGTCACTTGTTCTAAACTTTGCAAATGTTAGTATTTTATCCAGAAGACCAAGCCTGACCACCAGATAGAAGTGTACATTTATGTAAATACATTTGGGCACAAACAAATATGAGCAGAATGCATGAAGGATCCTTCGGTTTTCAGATTTGTCTTGCATTCCACTGGAAGAACAGACAGTGCCCACGCTCGTGGATGATAACCTCGACCTCATGTATGAAATCAGTCTTCCCCAACCTGATGCCCGCCAGCTGCATTGGCCTGCTAAACCAACTGCTGCCCGGGAACGATAGGGGTTGTATTCCAATACACCCAACAGCCACTAGGTGCAAAAGCCCACTTTAACTATTCAAGCAGGCGTCTGAGGACACTGCTCCAATGTTATGCCTTCCATCAACGCAAAAGATGCGCAGCTCTCCTCACTATGGCCCTGTAATCTTCCAGGCAGCGTTTTGCAATAAATAGTAAAACTGGAGGTTAACAGGATGACAACCCATGGAAACAGAGCAGGTCCGTTGGTTCCCCAGTGCCCACCACTTCCACTTTTACTCAACAATCAGCTCCTAGAATCAGCTCCTTCCTAGGTTGCTGAGCATGACACCTGCACCCAGACCAATGGGCTGCCCAGGAACAGAGATACGGGCCCATTTCCTCCCACCATGCAATGGGGCAGCGCCATTTCCCTTTACAAATCCCCCAGTCTCAGACTATAGGGACTGAAAGGCGATGTGGTAACTAGGAATGTCTGCCTTCACTAGCTGAAGATGTTACTCTTGGTGTTGAGCACACAGAGCTAAATGAGGTAAAACTGACGGATCCGTCTTTAAAACCACACAGTCATAAGCTACCCAGCCCAAGGGGCCCTCAGGATGACTGCCAAGCTTCAGGCATCTCAGTTTCATACTAACAGAAGAGCAGAGACGGACAGACACGTGTGCTCTTTATTTTCGGAGAAGCTGCGACATGGAGCCCACTGGGGGATTCTACCTACAATCCCAAGCATTTCTGACCATCTGCTCTTCTGGCTGGGGCTGACAGGAGTCAGAGACCAAAACAAACACCTGACATTCCCTCGACCTGGCACCCCCCCCCCATGACTTGGGCTGCATCCGTTGGATTGGCTGTGACTGATGGGAGCTGTAGTCTAACACTCTGGAGAAAGAGCAGCAGAATGGGGAGGGGAACGGTCTGTCAAGAAATGAAAATACATGGAGCGCAGGAAGCATCCTTGCAATTTAAATTTGCACCTACGACAAGGGGGAGGCCACGAGGGGGAAGAGCGGAGTATGCAGATCTATGCAAAACAGGATGTCTTTTTGCAATTTAAATATGCAGCACCAGTTCCTGGAGGGGGGGTCACGAGCCAGTTCCTGCCGGGGGGGATGCAGCACAGGAAGCACGTCTGCAATACCCACGGGCGCTACGAATTCCTGGAGGGGGGGCAGAGCAGCGGGGCAGCCCTCGGGGCGGGGCCACCGCGCGCGGGGCGGGGCCGGCCGGGAGGCCCCGCCCCTCCGCTCCCCCTGCCCGCCCGCCCGCCCGCTCCCCCTCCCCCCTCCCTCCCTCCCCTCCCCCGCCCGCCCCCCGCGGCCCTGCGGCCGAGGCGCTCTGAGGGGCCGCGCGGGCTCTCCGGCGCCGCGAGGGGGCCGCGCCGGGGCCCGTCCGGGCCGCCAGCCGAGGAGCGACAGCCCCAGCCGGCCGCCGCGGGACGAGCGAGGTTACCGTTTCCCTGCCGAATTCTCGTGGTGTTTGGTCGGGCGGCTGCGATAATGGCGTCCTTCCTCGCGAGAGATCCTCCGGAGTCGCCAGTGCGCAGGCGCGCCACCAAGCCCCGCCGCGATGGGCCTCGCCTGGCGCAGCCGCTGCGCAGGCGCGCTGCGCGCGTGCCTTGGGGGCGGAGGGAGCGCCCAGCAGCCGCTCGGCTCCACGGCGGCCGACCCGGCGGCGCGAGTGCGGGCGAACTACGCATCCCAGGAGGCCGCGCGCCCGCTGCTCCCGTGGCATGCTGGGAGTTGTAGTGCGCCGGCGAAGGCCGAGCCTGGCGGTGCATGCCGGGAAGTAGAGTTCTCAGGCGGAGTGCGGCGCTGCGATTCTTCGATAGGCGGCCATGAGGGGGCAGCCGAGAAGCGGCTGCCTGCCCCGTTTTCTCTGCGCGGGGCGGATTTCGGGCATTTTCCTTGGCGACCCGCCCGGAGCCGCCGAAATTGATGCACCCAATGCGTGGATTTATTTCATTTCTCTGCTGCTCTCTGGGCGGTTTGCACTGTGCATAAAAACAGAAGATAAAAGCGCAATAAAAATAGACAAGCAGAAAAAAATGTTTAAAAGTTTAAAACAGGTAATAAAACAGGCAATAACAAGGAATAAACATAGTGTAATATATCTATATTATACGTAGATTGTATATCTTAAATATAAAGAATTTGAATATAACGTGTGTGCATTTAAATGTGCTTGTAAAGATAGATAAACAGGAAGGTGTAAGAGGTATTCTTGCCTGTCTTGCTGCAAGGAATGCGAGGCGACTTGTAGAATCGTGCGCTTGTCCATTTTCACACCAGAACAAGCCCGTACAGTAGGTTATTCCGGAATATCGCTCAGCATCCGATGAAGCGTGATGCAGAAGTGTGGGAGCCACGCTGCCTTGCATTGCTCTCTCGCCTTGCGTCCTCTTGCTGAGAACCCAAGACAGCGGACACAATCTTCTTGCACTCCATTTTATCCTCACAACAACAGCCCTGGGAGGTAGGATAGGTTAAGCTGAAATCTTAGGCAAGTGTGAACCTAAGCCAGCCTAGGCTCGTGCCCTTCACTGGTTACAACAAAAACAACGAACCGTGTTCTCCAACTAACATGAGCTTTGGTGTGCTTCAGAACACGTTTTTTAGGCAGGAGGAGAGGAAAGGCGCTCTGTTGGCCCCAGAAGCTGCTCCTTGTAAAAATCCCAGGACTTCATTAGGGAGAGAGCTGCCAGGCGCATGGCTTGGTAAGTTAACGGCTTCGCAGTACCATCTGCAGAAACCTACACATGCCCATTTATATCTGTGCAGATACAGAAATAATTACTGGGATTTAACTAAACATCACAGATAGCTAATCACCCAAACCATCACTAATAAAGGGAATCGTTCCATTAATGAAAGGATCCGGGCGTCTCCAAAAGCTTTCATAATTTTGCAGGATGGTTTTTGGTTGACCTAACAAAAGGATTTCGGCAACATTCAAGAGAGAGGGGGACCCTTTTCCACCCTGGCTTTCTCCAGAGGTCTGGGACTACAGTTCCCATGTTCCTCCAGATCAGAGTACTGCAAAGCTCTCTAGAAGGAACTGCGGCTGAAGACAGCTCAGAAGGTGCCCCTTCGTGCACAGTAAGACTGATTGTGGGTCCCGAAGGTCCCGAGTGAGCTGCATAAATTAAATTATGATTATTTTATATGGATATTTTAACTTATTGTTTTATCTAGTGTTATAAGCCGCCCTGAGGCTTCGGCGAATGGGGCAGCATAAAAATGTTTTAATAAATAAATAAAATGATTCTGGCCCATGTGCCCTGGCTGCTGTGCCTTTCCATCCCGTGCAGGGGGCTGGTGTTGACCAGTTGGGCTGGGACCCCCAGTCTTGACTGGGTGCCGTTCCCGGTATAAACGTACCAAATGCCCGGGACCGACAGGAAGGCGAGCAAGAGGGGTCCCCCATAGAACCAAGCCAGGGCTCTTCCTAGAAGCAGAAGTGACCCAACGGAAGCTGTTGTGGGAAGGCGAAGGACCCTGGAGAAGAGGAAGACCAAGCCCGAGACGGATGGACTCCCTCAAGGAAGCCCCAGCCCTGACTCTGGACGAGCGAAGCCCGGCTGCCCACTGGGAGGGCTTCCGTTCCCGGAGTTGCCGCAAGTCCAGCTTGGGGCGGAAGAGCGATGCCAAGAACACGGAGGCGCTGCAGAAGCAGCAGCTGGCAGCCGGCGCTGCCTCAGCCCTTCCTGCCACATGCCACATGCCACCTCCTCCCTGGACAGCCATGGCGTCCTTCACCTTCTCCACGGCCAGCTATAAACGGCCTGCCATGGCCACCAAACGCACGCACACCAGCTTTTCGTTTAAACCAGCAGGAGAAGAGTGAGTTGCGCGAATTCCCAAGCCACAGAGACACGAAGGGAGGAAAGGAGTGGCCTCTTGGGGGGGGGGTCATTTTTCCAGGCTTCCAGCTGAAAACATGCCCCTCCGCCAGGACTTAGACCCAAGGAACAATCCTGCACGAGGGGTTGAAATTTAACTATCTGTTTAGCTTTTTTTGTCGAAAGGGGCGTGCCATGGGGTGGTCAAAATAGTCAGCTGCAGAGGTGATCCCTGGGTTGTTTTGCACGTCAGCGTTGGGAGCATCTTCTTGGAGCATTTGGCTTGCAAGAGCATTTGCTGGTTGGCCTCAGGCCCCGCAAGGAAGGCCCGGTCTTGCTCCCCAATGGTGCTTCGGAACAACAGAAGCATCATGAATCTGAGAGGTTTGGGCAAGCTGCTGAAAACTCTCTCGGGGCAGCGTCCGATGCCCAGAAGGCCATGCAGCCTGGTCACTTGCACTCGTGAAGGCAGATACGCTTCGTGTAAGTCTCTCTCTCTCTCATTAATCGCAGCATCTTGAGCAACTATATAAATGGGAGAGCACAGAGGGTTTTTTAGAGTCAATTGTATTTTTGATCGTTTTAGGAATGACGGTGGCTCTGTTTCTCTTCCACATCAGCAAGAGCCAACAGAAATTTTACAGCGCAAGCAAAGACAATTTTAGGAGACAATAGAAAGAGGGCAAACAGGTGGGAAAGGAAGGTTCAGAGCCAACATTCTCGAAGGGGAGCTGGCTTGGCCAGATGCAGCAGAAGCAGCAACAAGGATTCCCGTGGCTTCGTAAAGACTCCTCCGTTTATTTTGGCATTTGCAGTCATCGTCCGCAGCCCCCTTCAGCAGGAGTGCGACCTGTTATCAAGAGTCTGGGGGTTTATACAGCGCATGAAGAGCTTTGGCGGGGTGGGGGAACTCTAACCTTCACCCTAGCAGAGCTTATTCTGTTTTAACTTCCTCACATAGGCTCGGTCTTCAGACTAACTAATGCTGACTTTGCTCGCTCCTAAGACCAAGACGGCCTCACTGTGCATTTTGGGGCATGTCTTGAAAAAGACTGCTCTGTGGAAAGCCACTTCATGAAGACAAAACAAGAACACACAAAGCCCCCCCCCCCCCGCCCGCGCACACACAAACACAAATGCTAAAAGCACAATATTCCGACCCGCAGCTCATAGCCACGAGGAAAGATACAACATTTCAGAATGTCTGGGTGGTTGTCCATCGCCCCCCTTTCTCAGCACCCCCTCAAGCCAAAATCACCTCCAGACCTTTCTAAAGTTAAGGCAAATCTGCAGGAAATCGTTCGTCATTTATTCCCTTCTTAGCACATACAGTTTGCATGACTCACATGTCTGTCCATGACAGTGTTTCCCCCTTTCCTGGCCTTGCAAATGTTTTCTGAAACAAATGCCAAGAGCATAAACAAACAAAAAAACCCCTTTCATGCTTTAGGCTTATTGTACGAGCTTTGGTTGACATACTATATTTTTAATATATCAAAACAGAGATTAGGCTGATAATTTGTCATTTTGCAGACTGATTCCCTCCATGATTAACAACTGTAATCCATTAAGTGCAGTCGGGCTTAGTCCCAAGTACCTGTGCCTGGGATTGGATCTTATTATTTATTTTTTTCAAGTATTTTTATCCCATTGCTCTGCCAAAGATCTTCTGGACTGGCTTCCCTATGGTTAGCAAAACAAGTCACTTTCTGCCATTTATAGTAAGAAAGAAAAGACACACAAGGAAAGAGGAAAGGGGAAGGAAGAGGAAAAATCAGGGTCTCCAGCAAGGCTAGCGGAAGGACCCCACTTCTGCCTCTCTTCTCTGAGCTTCCCAAGCGCTGCATAAAAACATTTTCCTTCCTGCAGGAATAAAGCTCAGGAGATCTGGGTTCTGGGACCCATTTAGCCATGGAGCTCACTGGAAAACTTTGGGCCAGTCATGGACTCTCAGCCCCACCTCCCTCACAGGGCTGTTGCGAGGATGAACTGGAGAACTTTGCAAGCTGCCTTGGAGGAAAGGACATAATATAACTGTAAAAAATGAATCAACAGTTGAGTTTAAAATACAAAACTGTAGATGCTCAGGATGTTTTTTCTAAAGCAGGACTGGACATGCCAGGTTGCTCTAGTATGACATTTCAGGAATGCAGATGTTGTTTTAAACACGCATTAATTTTTGCCCTGCCTTTCCACCAAGCAAACTTTAAGCACGAGCATTTGACCCAAGCAGCATTTTTAAACCAAAACTGCAGGCAATCGCAGTGGGAGCATTCAGAAGCAATGCCAGCTGCGTGCTCTACCACCAAAGTAACACAGCTCGCGGTTTAAATATCTGCCCATTCCCCACATTAAACGCCTTACTTCCTCCTTAAATAGACATCACACTGTGTGTTGCTGGCATGTCAGGCGCACCATGGATGGGCAAATCTGCAGGCACTGCCCTTTTCCTTAAAATAATCTCCAAAGGGCTTCTGTGGGCATCAAGAGCCTGCGCTATTCCGCTTCCGATTTCCAAAGCACCAGAGAGCTGGAGCCTCGGTCACCTCCGAAGCAGCCTGCTGAGCTCCCTCGAGCTGGGAAACGGCTGGCACAGATGCCTCAGCCCATCTCAGATGTATTTGCCGTGTTACATAAAAGGGATTAAAGCTTGAGCTGGCACTTTCTGGGTTCAACATTCTCCCAAGCAGAACTAAGTG